TTTGTGAAATAAATATACCAAAATGTCAAACTTTAAAATCAGCTGTTGGCTATGTCGCTGAGGTCTTCAAAATGTTTAAGAAGCTGGCTTCAAGGCGACATTTGTCGACAAAATGATGTCGCTGTCGTTACGTCGTGAAGTTGCAGTCGTCAAAGTGTTCCGAGCTTTAGTTGTGTTTTGCTTTTCTTTTTGTGCTTCTCAATTGCTATAATTTCGTTTTATTTTTGTTTTGCTCTTCATTCAATTCACTCAACTTAATTCCAACTGCAGCATCAAAATCTTCGTCGTCATGCACCACAACCGTATTCCAAATGTTGCAAACTCATCCAGCTGGCTAGTTGCTTCACTGTCTTACCGATCTGGCTATGGGTTATTGCTGGTGTCTACTTGTTGGTTGGTGAGTTGGTCGTGCGATCATCGTTCGTCTTAGACCAAATGCCACAAAGTGGTAACAGCGCGCGGTCAAATGGCTAGCACGTAGATAAAGTATTAATTCAGTCAAACAGATGCTAGCCTTTTGGCAACAACGTTCATTGCCAGCATGATCGCACTTTCGCTGTGTTGACGATCAGTTTTGGTGCTGCTGTTCCAGCAATAATGATCGCTCTTAAGTAGCCAGCTGTAATAGTTTGTGATCGTAAATAGAAGTTGTGATTGCTCTGACCATTTATCTGTGGCGATCGCAATTTTTTGAAGGTTATTTGCAAATTTTGTTTGGTCGCAAAGCTTGAATTTTTGGAATTAATTTGGCGGAGTTATATATGTGTGGTTCGAATGTTAGAAAAGAGACACTAAAAAATTGCCAAAGATTTCTGAGGCATATTGTGTAAATATTGATTTGTAATACTTAAACAAAGCTGCTGTGATCATATTTCTCTGGCTTGTGTGCTGGTATCTGGAGCATTAACCTCTACATAGAGATGATATCCACTTAAATGGACATATGTACATGCATGTAAAGAATGATGGGGTCTGTCACCTGCCCTGATGCATTGGTGCTACACAGCAATAGTCAAACCTATACTGCTCTAGGGCGCAATGGGTGGTGTAATACCGCAATGAAGCCCTCATATTTTGGGTCAATAGAAAAGGTTCAGCGCCCCGCGACACTGCTCATCACGGAAGCGCTGAGGTCTACTCCAACGGCTGCTCTTGCAAAAATCATCAGTTTACCGCCCATTGACCTATTCGCGGAAAACCGTGCTGCAAAATCTGCATGTAAATTGACGGACATAAGGGAATTCAATTTCACAACGTTTGGGCACAGCTCAATTGGTGTTGGAAGCTCAGGCAGCACGGACTGCAAAGCTTTAATTGGGAGCAAAGGTTCCGCACAACGTTTGAGGAGGAGGGATGTCTCAAGGGAATGAAACTAGCCGTAGGTCCCTAAGGATTTTTACTGACTGCTCAAAAATTGTATCGGGATTTACTGCAGTGAACTAAACGCCAGGCGGGCAGTAAGGTTACCTGACCATTGCAGCATATTCTAAGGAGAAGGTTCCGAAATGAGGATAGCAAAAGCCAAAAGTAAACCTATTCGTAAACAGTCAGACAGCAATTAAGGCAGTTACCTCATATAGATTTTTATCCAAAAACGTCGGGAAGCCATTGGCGGTCTAGCCGCAGACAGAGGACTGCATATCTATTGTGTGACCGGCCACAAGGGAATAGAGGGTAAAAAATAGCAGATGGGACTGCCAAGAACGCAACCAGTCTGCCACTTGAACAGAAAAACTACATGCGTAGACCACTTCAACACTTTTACAACAAAATAGACGATGATATGTTTAGGCAGTTCAGGGCTAGATGGAACGAATAACCTGCAAAACTGCAAAAATATGTGCGAAAACAGCGGAGGAAAAACTTGGAGCATCTTATCTGCCAATTTGAGAAGTTAGAGGACACCTCAAAAGGGGCTAATAAAACTTTTAATTATGAATAAAATAGTAAATGTATGTATATACTTTTCCGTATAGGTTTATGCGGTAAAAGCCGGAATGAGCCCCTGAAACTTCTTACAGATGTACCCAAAAATCACTTTCCCTTGTTTCAAAAATATACCCTACCGGAATTTTGAACGCACACGTTCGCTTGGAACTAAATATTCTTTGAAGAGAGAGCTACCATAGGTATTACGAAATAAAAGTTGTACTTGTTCGCCGCACATATTAAGCTTGCTTCGGTCAAATGCACAGAGTGGTAATGGTAAAAAAATATTATTACTCGATTAATGTATCAAATGATTAATTGCAAGACCAAAAAATTTATAGCAATTAATTACAAGATATTAATCGATTAATCAGCATTTTCGATTAATATTTTTTTTTTAATATTATAATAATGGAATCACTTTTTTTCAAATCATGTATTCATTCATTCAATAAAATTAGTGACATACAATTTTGTATAAAATTTCCAAAACTCACATCTTACAGGAGCCATTTTGAACATGCGCGTTTAATTTTACGAATTAACAAAGGCATAATGTGCCTCTTCATTGAAATCAGTGATGTGACTTTAAGAAATGGCGAGATATAGTACTAAAATGTTGTGAGTGGCAGCAATTTTTAGATATGTATTATAATTCATTTGATTTCGTCGTTAGTCTAGTTCGATTAATCAGAACAGGATACTCGATTCGATCAAATCGCTTTCCGAAAAGAATTACTCGAATACTGCTATTCGATTTGATTAATATTGCCATCCCAAGCACACAGTTCATCTTTTGAGAAAGCATCATGATGTCATAAAATACAGCAATGAAATATTTTTTTTTCGAAACGTAAAATGACTAATTTACCAATAATTTAGCCTTCCGTATATATTTCTTGCACTATTTTTACTGCTTTCCCGTATATGAAAATACCTACCAAATTCCGGTTCAGAGCGTTAAACCACAGCTCCACTCCGTAGGCAATTTTGGATCCGTCGTTATGGTTCACAAGGTACCCTTTATGGTATTCAAAGACAGCCTGTAAATGCTGTACAGTCTTTTCAAACAAGTCCTATTTTTCATCGCCGTTCACCGCACTAGTACCCCTAAATATTTGCTATGAATATCCAACGTTCTGTTACTTTTACATATAAAATCCCGCTGATACTTCCCGGTTCTGCCCAGGATTCGAATGTACTTTGTGCTTGTATTTAATTGTACAG